CTCTTTAACATGGTAAACGGTATAAAAGAGTAACATGACACTCTCGGAATAGGTCTCGAATAAGATCGTTAAGCTATATAGACATTTTGTTTTCAAATTTTCACTGAGTGAAATGTCGAAATGTTATTATTCATTATAGAAAGTTAGTAAGGAATTTATATATTACTATTTAAAGGTTCTTATTTTTTTTGGTACGTTATATAATTTCACAGCCTGATAATAATATATGAACTTTCTCGAAACATTGTTTCTTGAAGAATTGAATAAAGACAGATAATGTGAAAATTTCTTTTGCTGTGTCCTTAAACATAATTTAAGTTTGAATTTTCATTTTAAGCTCTCCTTCCGGAAGGTCTGTAATTAAGCAGCTTGGGATTCTTGTCATACGCATTACATGCTCCTTCCATTTTCTTTTGTAATCTATTGCAGTTTCTCTTGTTGGTTGCACCCATCATTGTGTACTAATTTAGTCATTCCTAATGCAATCTAATGGTATTACTGCATCGTTTTACTGACCGAAGAAATTTCATTTTTGATGTTTCAGTTTGTAATATTGAACGTCAGGTGGCCATATTCCCGGTCCTTGATGGTACGATGGTGTGGGAATGGCCTTAATACACAATTTCAGTTGCTTTACTTTTATAGTTTTCCCTTTAACAGCGCGTCTTATAGTCACACACATTCTTTGGAAGTAATTTGTTTTAATGAAACTCTTCTCGTCCTGCTCGTATGTAGTAGTATCACATCTCAAATATTTGAAGTGTGATTGTTGTCTGTTACTGCTGCAGTCCACCTTGCTTCTTATTTTCCTATGAACGATATGGTATTTAGTACGGAGATTATTTAATCTGTAATTTTAAAGATTGAGTTTACGGATAGCCAATTGCAATTTGTCTTCCGTATCTTGCAAGGTAATCTGGTTATCGGCAAATAAAGTAGTTCAGGAAGTATAATTTCATTATTTTACACATGCCTCATATTTATTCATGAATATGCTTCGTCAGGCGTAGGAAAGTAGTGATTTCATTAGAATGATATTACGCTTTACAGCTAATGGAAAGATTTTACAACTAAGGTGTGTATTGTACATCATTCATTAGAGAATCTGACCGCACAACATTTGTAAATTCCGTCATGCAGTTCGACCATCGATGCTTCACCAGAATTTTATCTAAAATTGAATACAAGTCCTATTTTGGGATGGTGATGGGAAAATGCCAAATGACTCTCACGAACTCATTGTAATTAGTATCGTTGCTGACATTCGTCTGACTAAGAGGCTGAAGGGTAAAATGTTTTTCAAGTAGGAAAACAAAATTACTCCACGTGGTATTTAACTGAGGTAATAAGACTTTTTCCATAATATCATTGTTTCGCAAGCGAGTAGCCCTTCACTTTCCTTCTATTGGTGCTTTTCAAACTAGGAACGTAAATTGTTCAGGAGTTTCAGACAATTCTACCAAAATATTATAGTGTTTGTCACGGGAAATATTTCAAATAGACTACATTTTACCTGATAAATTTCAAGTTACTTCTTTCATTCTATATTTTGTCATTATTAGATTACAGACATTAAATCCGCCAAAAATTTTCTTCTTCGTTTTCTTCTTCTTCTTCTTCTTCTTCTTCTTCTTCTTCTTATTATTATTATTATTATTATTATTATTTATGAACTGCAGCGGTCATAGTTGCGGTATTACTTCATGCATGTCTGCCCTTGCCTTCTCTTTCTTCAGCAGTTTGACGAGGTCTTCGGTAACCCCCAATTATGTAGTGCGAATGATATCGATCTCAATATTTAAGTGATTTCCGTAGCGTTTTGCAAAATCTTTAACTCTCCTGAGTACGTGCGAATCGCCAAGGAACCGGCTCCCCCCTCTCCAAGGTGCTCGGGCGGCCCCGCTCCCTCGCTGCTTAATCCGCCAGCTTAGTGAGCGACGAAGACAAACGACGAGGAATTTAATTTTCATTCCGAGATGGTCTGGCAATTTGGCGCCCAGTTACTCGGACGCAATTGAAATTTATGACGAGCGGGGGGCTTCTTTTGCCCCGGCTAGGGCGTTCTGCGTTGCAACTTAACTGACGCTGTTTATGTAGCCCGCGCCGTATTTCATGCGTTCTCAGACCGCTGCCGCTGTTTTTCAAGAGAACTTCGTTACGCCCTTCGCGAGGAAGGGCCAAGGAGTTCTGTCCATTTTAATGAACCCGAGACTTCATCTTCAACGCAACTTCATTGCTTTGTGGCGTCGCCTCTCCTTGTGTGTTTTTTTAAAACTTTCTTTGTACTGCGCGTAGGCGGTTGGTACAATGAGATTAATAATCGAAATGAGAGTTACAATATGTTTTCACGCAAATTGTTGTGTGAAAATATTATTTGAGAATATAATTAAGTTTGAAACACGATAGAGCAAGCAAATCATTTTGATGTACTTAGAAGAAAGTAAATACTTGTAAATAAAGTGTAAATTATTAATAATTTCATGCCATTATCAAAGTGACTTATGCCTGCGAACGTACATTCTTCTCTTGTGTAGACAGCATTGTTTTCGAACATTTGCGAAATATATGCATTCACCCGCATGATATGTTATCATGCTGTTTGACAGAACCAAAATTATTTACTTGTAGGCGACATCTGAAATAGAACCTGAAAATAACGTCATTTATATTCAGCGTAAATGAAATATTCTTTATAAGAAAGCATCGATCAGCGGGGACCCCCCCGCCCGAGAAAATCCTGTGGATATGTGATATTTAGTTCAACTCTTTTTTACAGGCTTTGTACAGTTACAAGCGAAACATATGACATTACTGGGGTTACGCATCTTCTAGAAACAAGACGGACTGGGCATTTCAATTATTTATTTATGCACTTGCTACTAGAAAAGGCCTTGCAGATAATTTCCCCTTTCCTTCCTGCGTCTGGGCCGGCCGAATAACAGTTTGGTGTTTTCATGATCCCACTGTAGGAGGCTTCGCACAACGAGGCTCCATCTGCCGTTAATGGCGGTCCGTCCAGTCGCTCTCTCCGCTCACTCCCCTCCGCTCCGTCCCCGCCCAGCGTTTCAGCCCCCCGCCTGTTTTGCTCCGTCTCTGATCCTTTTGTTTTTCGTTGTCGCCAGGCCGACCACTCATCGAATCTCTTCTCAAACGATGTTATAGGCTTTGTTTCAGGGCTCGGTGCCATATCGTGCTTTTTAGACCTAGCCTTGCGCCCTATACTGCTGTGAACTGACGGCCTTTTTTTTGCAATGCTTCCTGTTAAACGCCTTGTGGTCGCAGTTGTGAAATTGAAGGATTAGTGCTAGTAATGTAAAGGCCCGATTTTAAATGTTGAACACATCCTTTATTGGACCCCTGAAAAATATGAATTTGTTAGTTAAATCTCCTTACTTGTGAAACATTAATTGAATGTATGTCTGCATTTTTAGTGAACGAAGGGAATTTTATGATTAAAAATGTACAGTCCAGGCCTTTGATTGAGGTTGTGGAATGAAATGTTTCAATATTCAATTTTGTAGGTAAACACTGTGTCTTATTGTTCATTATTAATGTGAGTTTCATTTCGTCTCATTATTTTTACGTTTCCCCCTCGAAGAAAAAGCACTTATTAGTGGCCTTCAACCGCAAAAAAAGTACTGGAAAATTAGGAAAAATGGGGTTCTGGATTAGTAAAAATTGTTTGTTCTGAAACGCAGCATGTGAAAACTGAAGCTCATTTCCTCGTAGCATGACTGATTCGTAAGCAGTGACACATAGAATATGAGTATATATTCATAACATTAGGTATGAATAATTGCAGATTAACATGAAACATTGGCACTTTTCAGACAAAATCTAACCCGTTTAATTATTTTTGAATTTTTACAGTCTTCCTGCGTATCTAATGAAATCATTGACTCGTGCACATTACCAGTGGCTGCTTAGTTTTCTGTCAATTTACGCATGTATTTGAAATGAGTATACTCCGATTAAATAAAAGTTACACTTCGATTTAAACAATATGTTGTACTACAATTTAAACAGAAAGTCCCTTCAAGGTGGCGCAGACAGCGGGACACTGTCATCCAACCGCGAAGTTCGGTATGACTGTGACCCGCTTTTTGACCAGCCCTTGACCTTGAAGGGGCTTTTCTGTTCTAATCGAAGTACAGCATACGATCAACATTACATCAAGAGATGCACACTTTTCCGCATGGTTGCGTGAGGGTGAGGGTGTTGACGTGACGACTTCCGCGCGCCGCCCCGCACCCGCCGTCGTCCGTGAGGGCGGGCGGCCGGAAGCGCGCCCTATTGTGCGGTTGGCCGCCAATCGCGGGCCGCGCCGCGCCGCGCGTTGAGTGGCGAGCGCTGGTTCGCGCGCGCTTTATACGCCTTGCCGCCGCGCCGTCGTTAAAGGGACACGGACCGGCTGTGTGTGTGTGTGCGCGCGCGCGCGTGTGTACGCTGGCGCCCCACGCGGCCTCTGGAGCGGTCGCGCGCACGTCATCCGTGGAGGCCGCGCCTCGATCTCATGCCGAGCGAATTTTTATGAACGCGAGTTTACAGAGGGATGTTCTTATTGCGTATTCAGCATGCTATTTATTTCGCTGAATATGGACGCAAAATGTGAATATGCTCTCATTGATCAGTCTTATCGACTGTTGTTCCTATATTTTTACTGCTAAGTTACCTACTAATAAGTTAATTTATGTTAATCTCTCAAAAAGATTTGATTATTTTATAAAGCTTTCCTTTCTAGACTTCCAGCTGTTCTGTATTTTTTTTTCTTTACAAATGTTGCAAGTAAGTTAGTCAGCTTGTGTCATGTACTACCACTACTAGATTTGTCATTCTACTCAATGTTCGTGTTTATTCCATTTTGCGTTGAAGTTTTCCTTTTGAGGGAGTAAAGGGAAGAAGTGTGTGATCTCTCAGGGTGCTGTTGAATTTAATTTGACCGTCGTTATAGAAACTGTTTCAAAGTAACACCCGCCTAATTGCTGTGTGTTGTGTTTCAGACTTTCCGGCATGGCTTCCCGTTCCAGCCGACGGCGCTGGCCTTCGACCCCATCCAGCACCTGCTGGCCGTCGGCACCAAGTCCGGCTCGCTCCGAATGTATCCTTCCTTGCCGGGTGCGGCGAGTCCGCTCGCCCCAGCCCGCGCCCGCGCGCCGCTCGCCTGAGCCCGTGTGCCTGTGCGCCCTCGTGGGTGAGTGTGTCGTGGCCGCCCGCCCACCCGCCCAGGCTCCTGCTCCCCGGTGCAGCGTCACGCGGCCCGCGCCCGGTGCAACTTGGCGAATCCGCAGCGGCGCTCTCCGCGCCCCGCCCCCTTTTGTCGACGCGCCCACGCCCCCACGTCGCCGCCGCGGCCCAACGGCTCCCCTGGGGCACGTTCGCGCCCCCGCCGTCCGCCCGCGCCCAGGTGACGAGCGCAGTGGGCCCGGCGCCGCTCGCACGCCGCGAGGACAAAATTGTTTCAGCGCCATACATCTGGAACCATCACTATTAGTAACGTTAATTACGTAGCGTAACGTAATAACGTAACCAAAATTAACACAAAAGACGCACTGTATTTCCTTTTAAACTTGCTGTTGGGTATGAGCTTCCGTCTTGCTTATCAGCTGCCAGAATGAAGTCTGAAAAGGAAAAGATTCCTGATTTGAGAACATTATTTTCAAATTTAGCTATTCATGTTCTGGAAATATAATTTAAAGAACATTGTAATTCTACTGAAGATCAGCGATTTGTGTTTATGGAGTTTTCCCACGCTACGTTTCCTAATTACTACTTACCTAGTCTTAAAAAATCTAAGTTTATCTTCAAAATCATGAATATTTTCGTTTTCTTTATCAATGCATTATTCCTTTAAAAATCTCTTAATGATGAAATGTAATGACATTAACTTTAAAAATATGAATCCGCGAACACTCACCGTGTGCGTAGAAATCTGAATTGTGAATTCAATCCGACGCGGAGAGAAAATAAATCGTAAGTTCTGTCGGGAGTTTATGCACCCTTCGTTTTCGTTATCGGCCAACGTTGGAGGCGGGGGCGGGGGCGGGGTCAGAGTCAGCATGGCTTTGCGACGGGCCGGGGCTAGAGGGGCGGGGCGGGGGCGGATTTCAGATTCCGGTCACGGCGTCTGCGGAAGCTCCCACAGCGCTCTACGCTGTCCGATGAGGCCAGCCAGCCAACCGGTCGGCTGGGGCGCCATGGCGTGCCCTGGTTTCTGCTTTTGCGTGGATATTTTTGAGGTTTTTCAGTCCCTTATCCACGATATCTCTTCGATATGCAAGCGTGGAAGCAATCGCATGTTGCTGCTAGCGGTGAGAAAAATAATGCCTTGTTGCGAATATCACGTGAATATCAATTTAAGCCATCTCTGAGCGTCGCTGGAATCAGAAGTCTACGCGAAAATTTATCATATTGTGTTTTGTCTAATATTCATTAACATTACGCTATTTCAAAGCATTATTTTCAGTTCAAAGCTAATTCGTTTTCTTATACATTTTCATATTATTCTTATCGTTTGCAAACGCGTGAAAAGAATGAAGAAAACGAATTGTTTTGATCAATCTCAATACAGTTTTCATATGTAATATATTTTAATTAGTATTGCATGACGAGCAGGTTGGGAAATTCATACAGTTGGCGAGCTGGGCGGTAGCACACTGTGAACACCGTTTGTGCGGAAGCGCGGGGCAGCGAGGCACGCGGGTCGCGGAGGCGCTGAAAGATCGCGCGCGCCCTTTTGATCGATCGGGAGGAGGGGGGGGTGGCCGTTCAGAGGAGAAGCGATCCGTCTTCCTCTTCCGCCCGTGCGGGGGCGGACAGTTTCGCTTGTCGCTTCTGTCACGCTTATCGGTAGTAGAAGAGCTGATATTCATGATCAGATCATTATTACAATCTGCACTGAATATGTTGTCAACCAAGCATCTCGTTGTCGTATACATTCATGGGAATATGAATATCAGGACATTGGGAGTATAGTAAGTAATGATTCACCGTCATAAGAGGTAAACAATATTAGCTTTTACGTTGAATTTTGAGGATTGTTCGTAAGACACATAATAAGAACTATTTTTTGGCGTATAGATCTCAATTCCACAAGCATATAAATGTAAGTGAATGCTCCCACAACGAGAATGAAAACAATATTTCCTGCTAATTCTTATCTAATTTTGTGTAACATTTCGTGTTTAATTTCACATAATGCTATCGTTTAAAATATACCTTCTTTAACTAATGTTAGTTTCATAAAGCAACCTCTTAATATTTCCCCTCATGCCAGGAGTTGGTATATAAAACGTCTAGAATGATTTATAATTGTAATGAATGATTGTCTGAACAGTACTTATAAATGTAGAACGGTGGGCAATAAATTTCGGCAGCGTTGGCGTGAGCGCTGACGCTGCTCGAACGAGGGCGGGCGACCACAGATTGCGCTCTCGGGGCGGGGGAGTAGCGCCATCGTGTCGCGTCGCCTCGAGCCGAAAGACTAGTGCAAGAGGTTCTTTCTTCTGCGGGCGGGCCCCGCGCCACGCCACATGCGTCGACTTTCGGGCCCTGCAAACTTCTCGCCGCGCCACGCCGCGCCACGCCGCGCCACGCGCGCCAGCCGCCCACGCCACGCCACGCCACGCACGCCACGCCACGCCACGCCGCCACGCACGCCACGCCTGCGCGCCCCGCCCCGCGCCCCGCACGCCACGCCACGCCGCCGCCCCGCCGCGCCACCCCACCCCGCCGCCCACGCCGCCACGCCACTCCGCACCGCGCCGCCCGCCCGGCACAGACGTTGGCCGAGAGTGATGGTTTTGCCCAACTTCGCGCTCCGCAGCCGGGGGCGGCTTTATCAGATGGCGCGAGGAGGGCTTCCGGAATGACTCCGGCCGCTTCCACGCGCCCTGCCTTTTCCTGCCGCCTGCCCTCTCTTCGCCTTGTTTCTGCTTCCGTTCTCCACAGCCCTCCGCATTTCTGTTGCCCAGTCAGTTTTTGTATGTGTCTTTCTCTGTGTTTCTTTCTGCTTTCTCGTTTCTGGTTCGCGTATCTTCCATGCAACAATATTTTTCTTCTGTTCCCTCATTTTCTGCCCGTGTTTTAAGCCCTTGCTCGTTTCTTTTCCTAAACGTTCTCTCTTGGCCATGATTTCCTGATAATCTCCATTCTACTAGTTTCGGTAATACATCGTGACTTGTATGCCCTGCCTTCCGTTTTGTTTCGTCCCATTTGTCACTTTCTGAGTATCTTTTTTTTATCAATTCTCCGTTTCTCTTTATTCCTTTATGCGATTCTCTTCCTGTCTCCATGTAGCCGCGTTTTCCGGATTCTTCCGCAGCGTCCTCTGCCTCCGCCGTTACCCCCCCCCACCCCACCCCACCCGTGGACCGCCGCCGCCGAAGCAAAACTCCGCGTATCGAAAAAGCGTAAAAGTTTTCTTTAGAGAGCTCCCCGCCGTAACGGCGTAATTGTCTCCGCGCGTTGCGCGAGCCGCGCCAAGGACGGACGGGTATTGCTCTGTGCGGCACGGCTCGGCACGGCCAGGCGCTGCGCTGCGCAGGTGAGGCGCCTGGCGCAACCTCTTGCTTTATGAAGCCTTTTTCCGGCGCCCTTGCGCGCTGCGGAGGAGGTGCGTTTTACATAAGTGCTTGAAATTACGAGGACGTCAATATTTCCTTTTTTAGTTATTAAGTCGAAGAGACACTGTACGTGGGGCGTATTTTAGCTCGTTTTCTCCCCGGGGGCTTTCTCCGGGTCGTTGCGGGTAACGGCCCTTGGCTTCAGCCTCCGCCGCCGCCGCCGAGAGAGGGAGGCGCCGGCGCCGCGGGGCGAGACGAAGAGCGCAGAGGAGGACTCGCGCAAAGAGACGCGGGACGTCCCGGAAGTGCGCACGGGGACCGGCCGGACGCCGGGCGTCCCGGCGGACGGCGGCGCGGCACGACGCCGCCCGGGCCTCGGTCCGTTGCAGTGCGGAGCTGGGTGGAGGCGGCCAACCGTGGCGCTGGCCGGGGGGATGGCAATCCTTCTGCTGTATAGCACGCTCCAGTTATGACTAAGCGGCAGCTAGTACACGTATGCTAACTGCAGTACAACTAAATATTCACCTAGGCAAAAAAGATAATCATTGAATATAACTATAGTGACCGTGCACCCGTTCCTGTGCCATAAAGCGTTAAAGAATGAGACAAAATGAAGGACCAAATAGCACGTAACATTAGTCACTGCTCGAAGATCACATAAACATTGAAGTTCACACGACACTGCTTTCTTCAATATTGTTCCTTGTTTTACTGGAAAAGCGACGCTGAGTATATCTAGGGCCTGAATACTTATACTAACGACGGTACGTAGATAAGAAATAATTATTTTAAGATAGTAGTACAATATCCTGAAATGTTCGCATTTTACAATTTAAAGTTTGAGTTTGATAGCATGTCAGGGATGGGTTCGAGAAAGAGTGGAGTACCGGAACTGGGGCTATGTGGAAGCTCGACGAAAGCGGCCCCGCGCGCCTGCGGCGAGCGCAGCGCTCCTGTCGGCGGCGCGGTGTGACGGGGCGGCGCGGTCAGCTGTGACCGCGCGCGCGAGGGCGAGATGGCTTGCGAGGCCGTTGCAGAGGCCGTGCGCTCGCGTGCCGCTCCGCTCCCGCGCCCGGCTGCGGGCGGTCGATAAGCGCGTGCCGCCGCCGCCGCCGCCGGCGCTGGGCGGCAGCCGAGGTGGCGACGGCGAGGCCGCATCCTGCGCCCGCTTCCTGCGTTTCTTGGTGCGCACGCAGTCCGCTGCACTCGGCTGCTTTACGCCCTTTACCCCGTTGCGGGCTTCACGTGCGTCCGACCCGGCGCTGCCCCCTCTCCTCGTCCTTCCGCTTCCATCCCGTTCCTCCGCGTGGCGCGGTGTTCGCGTTCTGTTTTTGAGTTGTATGTCCGTTTTACATTTTACCTCGTAAGTTTGCGTTTCATTGCTTCAACCATTCTCGGTACTTCATTTACAAATTTTGTGTAGCTTGTTACTTTCCTCGACTTTCCTCTCGTTGGTCTGTGACTCGTTCTCCTCTTCGCTAGTGCGTACGTTTTTATTGCCCAAGGCTGGTCTGGAGCTGACGTGGTCGAAGTTACG